GATACATCAACACAATGAGACAGAACAAAACAATAAACAAAAGGACACAACAAAAACAATAAGACACAATGAGATACATCAACACAGAGACCGAACAAAACAATAAAAAAAGGACACAACGAAAACAAAACTTGTAAAGATACTGAGAACCGTCATCAGCTTCTTTAAAAGTTTTGTTAACCTCATCCGTACCACAAGCATTCTCACTTGATGAAGCATCTTCAGAATCAGAATTGCTACCATTAGGAGGACCTGCAGAAGAATTGTTTGTCCCAGGTACATCTTCTGCATTACCTCCACTTCTTGATATATCTGCTTTTTCACAAAATATGCGCTCATATGCTTTCTTCAGATATGTGAGTGCCTCTGGAGTGTTGTAATTAGTGAGAACAGCTGTTATAAAATGCTTCATTCTGTCTCCTTGAATGTCATATTCACAGTCAAACTGTGCTTTGTTAAAACTATCTCCTTGTGAACTTTGAGCACATTGCAAATCTGCCTGATATTTAGCTTCCATTTCAGACGACACCTGCTGGACATAGTCAACCACAAACTGAACAACACAAATGAATTCAGCCATTCGTTTGAAACCCAGACACTCTGACAGTTGAAGTGCTACATTTAAGATTTCCTTGTGGTGTTCCTTTGAGAAAACCCATAAGAGAGATGTTAGAGTATCCATCTGTGTCCCATTCATATTGGACACCATCTCCTTATTAGAAAGTGTTTTCTTGTTATCCTTACACGAACCAATAGCTTCATTAATATTTGCCCTAGTTTCAGTCCGCTGGGATCTGAACACAATTTCTTGATCTTGACTGAATGTTTTCACCTGCAAGAACAAACTTCAATTAACTGAAAGTGAACGGACTCATCAAACTCTGAAAATGTGTAATACTGGAGCTTGTACGAATTCTGCTTTCAAAGTATAGATATCAAGACTGTTTGCATGTTTTGTCTCCAAAATTACTCAAACAGATTTGATGACATTCTACATTGAAAGTACAAACTAAAGCTGCTAAGTGAACGTCACTTTTGGATCATGTAAATCGAATATACGAACCAGAACAGTTCTGTCAGTTAAGAAAGTGTAGCCATATGAGCATCGAGGCTCTCACAGTGGTGAAAATGTTGATGTAGGTCCTCTGAGTTGTAACCCTGTGTGCCTTTGAAGGTGGATACAGGCTTGGAGAAACAAAGCTCTTATCTTCACAGCTAAAGTCACTTCTACCTACATGTCCACATAGTGTTACTGCCCTGAAGACCAACATCAAAGAAACTAGCTACAGCCTGCATGATCAGAGCTGTAGGTAGAAGGCAACTGCTGTGGCAAACATGGAACATATTCGTTCATACTGTGACAAAAACTCCCTGATCTTTCACAGCTGTCTCATAGTATTCATTCCCTGCTTACTCCTCTTAGATCCAAATTTTTTCTCATGCATTTTTAAACATTTTCAATTGATTTCCTTCCCTCAGAGAAAGAGACATTATTTGCAACCATACAAAACAGGTGGTATGTTGTGCCTTACCGTCTTATTAAACCGTTCCTGGGTCCAGGTTCCCTCACTGAGGTTCTTGGTGGCGTCAAGTATCACCTGACGCTGGACCTTATCAATGTCATAAAACTTCATTGGATGCAGATGCAGCTCACCATTAATTTCCACCAATCCTGAATCTGTTAAAGACACCTTTGCTCCACTCTTGCTCAGTTGCTTTTGAACACGCACCAGACCAGCAAAGAAGTCATCCTTATTGTCAATATGAGTAATGCCTCTAATCACCTGCAACATATACCGTTTGTGTGCTACTGAATAATGACGTGTATGATGGTTTGCAATCTCTTTATATCACAAAATGTTTTTTGGTGGTTTCACAAGAAGGAATTAATACTGGTGGCATTTAAACGTATAATAACACTTCTGATTCATGCTGCGATATGCACTAGCAGAAACAGCCAGATGTGCACAAAATACTTGTACTTCAGTCTGGCTGTGCACTACTGCTACAGTTTTGGGCAAGGTATGTCTTCACACTTCCCCAACACATTCATCTGGAGAAAATATTCCAGTTTTACACTGCTCCTAAGTTGTGTAAAAATAATGGAAAAGTTTCATAAAACTGGATTGGCGCTGACAAAAATAATTTGTATAACATTCACTTCACATACAATACAAGCAAAAATAATTGTTTTTTTTCTACTTACCTCTTAAACATGGCTTTCCAGAAAACAACTTTAATGATATCTGGAAACTATTAAAAGGCATGGTCTTCAAAATGACAATCACAGAATGTCTTGATGATGGCTGTCTTCTGGGTTGTAGCAACATGTAGTCTGGAAGTTTACTGACATTTCAGAAGACCTTGCTGCCTCCATCATGAGGGCAACAAAAGAGGCAGTAAATACCTCTGAAACATCAGTAAACATCTACCAGATTACACAGTGTTACAACCCAGAAGACAGCCATCTTCATACTCGCTGCTATGAAAACCTGAAATCCTGCATACAAAATCCCAAGTTGCCAATATTTAAACAAAGAACTATAGTTACATATTGTAGAAACAGCAATCCTGTACCACTGAGTTGGTTAAATTAAACATTGCCATTACACCAACAATTCTAACCTTTGCATTGCCGCGCATGGTGTTTCCGTCTTTGCCTCGAGTTTGCTTGGCAACTTGACGGAACATACGTCGATGCCTGTTACTCCTCAAGCTCTCCTCAAACTTATTTATCATGCCATTTTGTGTTTCCTTGATGATGGCACTGGCTGTACGTATATTGACAGCCGACATGCTGAAGAACAGGACTGATGACGCAAACTGGAACACCTCGAGTTTTGTCAGATTATCCGAATTATATTTCTTGGTAAGCTCAACAAAGCTATTTACCAATCCAAGTCCATTCACGGCCAGCGAGCCATAATTGAGGGTATTCACCATAATTCGGCCAGCTCTGAAATGAGACATGAATAAAAAAGCTGGCCCACTATACGCCATGTAGGCACTTGAGGGGTAGAGGAATACAGCTCCTACTCATTCTTAACCTTGGTTGTAGATAGGGGTGAGTGGTCAGCGTCATGCCCCAGCCGCACTTTACCCCCAGGAAAGGATATAAATACAGCACAAAATGACCTAAATAGGAATAAAAAGAATGAAACGTTTCTAGATCTATTCTTTATTATTCTGCATCTTTCACTGAGCTTCAGGATCGTTTATTACAGATACTAATCTACTGCTGAAAAATCTTATTAACATTATACACTGCAATGAAGTATAAAATATACCTTGTACTTAAACTACACAACACCAAAAAGTGTTCCACATAAAAGTTAAAAGCACCAAGGAACCATATCTTATGTCACGCAACCACACTTTATGTGATAAGCAATTTTTTAAAAATTGTTTGAACATAATCAGAGGAATTTAAAGCAGGGGTTATTGTGGGCAGATACAGACCACAGCAAATGCATTCATTAACTTTAAATGTAGACCCCACATAAAGCTTCAACAAATATTAATTCATTTGGGGTATAAAATGTAGACAGACAAAATAACATAACAGCCTCATTATACACTTGTCCAAGTAACACACAATGAACTACTTGAAATTCGCTTTTTACTCAGGATGTACTTAGTCTGTACCTAAACAGTCACGGCTCATATGGCCAACTCACCTTAGAGGAGGTTAAAAGGAAAACTATATTAAGAAAACGTGTTGGTGCTACAGTGATTCTGTTTCTTACTTGGAAAGAACTTGTCCATTCTGCGTCATATTGGTAAGGGCTCGGACAGCCTGCCCTGAAGCTACTCCCAATGAGCTACCAGCGACAGACAGCCAGCAGTTCCGAGCTTCTGCATCTGTCACACCAACACTCTGTTTGTGCTTGCCCCTGTCAGCTAATGTAGCTGTACCCCTGCAGACTCCATATGCGCCTGTCGCGATGCTTGCAACAGTGGCTGCTGTTATGACAGCAGGTGCCACAGCAGCAAACATTGCAGCCCCAGTCACTACCATACTACCGACCTGTCAAGTATCCACATTCATCATCCGGTGCAGTTTCAATTCATCAATCAACAAAATAACATTACATTTCATTTAGCCCTTTGAAGCCAAAGTTCATCTGAATAACATCTAATAATTCAGCCCATACCTCAAAGAGAAAACACAAAGCTTCACCATTCCAAAGATTAACTGGTTAATGCTGTTTAAGTAAACAATTACTGTTTATTCTGAGAATACAAAATGCAGCATTACTGATTGTTGAAGCAGGTGGAACACGTAGTTACCATGGGCTTAAAAAGTTAAGCTAACTACTGAGGCAACCAACCAAATGCCACATAACAGAAGCAAAAGTTCCAACACCGCCAGCTACATAGTTTACTGCACAATGTTGACCTCTCATTCCATCCCCTTTGCATTCTCACAACTAATTCTTCCTACGAACATCTGATATTACCCTTGTACCAACTCTTCAATCCTTTAAATGTCAGTAACAAAATGACAGCTACAGTCATTGTGATAAGAGACAAGCTGCAAAACTATTAGCACTCTGAAGCCAAACCTCATCCAGATATTTACAAATTCAGTTCCTACTTCAAACAAAACACAAAGCATCTCCATTACAGACATTGGCTTAATTAAGGCTGTTTAGGGAAAACATCGCTCTTTACTCAAAGACTCGTACGGAACTTACAAACACACCGTGGACAAAATTCTGACTTAATGACTGTTAAAGTAGATGGTACACAGTTACTACGAGGTTTTAAAGAGCTACTTACCATAAGATTTAATGACACAATATCGTGCCAGATTCTTGCTGTTACATCACTGACTTCTGACTTGGAACCTCTCTAGTTTAATTATGCGTAATTTCACTTTGTAGTTTCTTTCTTCAGGTGGCACAGAAACCAAGAAATCTGTGTTCACACTCATAAGAGGGTTATGAGATACCCCAGCTACAGAAACTCACCGTTACTACTGTGCTGGCTGTATCCAGCACTGAAAATACTTTGCTCACAGCTTTACTTGCTGGGGTCTCGCCAAATCCCAGCAGAACTTTATCATTCTCATCACCATCATAAACACCTCCAGCTGGATAGCAGTAGGTACACTTGGGCAACAGATTGTTGCTGAGGAAGTCATCCCAGTCTTCGTACACACGACAATTCTGGTCCACAAACTGGTTCAGACACTGTTTTGATTTATCCTGGAGAAACATTTGAAGTGCCTCAAATCACACAAAGGAGTCTCGTGTGCTTCAACAAGATTGTACACAAGTACAGTTAATTCCATAAGTTTAAGAAAGGAAAGAATTTTAGTGAAGGCAAACAGAATGATATTCTGGCTATTAGGACTAAGAACCTATGGAAAACGACATGAAAACAACAGACGGAAGGGGGAGGGGAGGCAGCAACAGCAGCACATGAAGCACAAGCCTCACATCTTATGGCCAGAAATGCAAAAAGTATGAATGTCAGCCTTGAGGTTCTCATGGCAGTGAAGACATTAGATTACGTCTTATCGGTTCTTGATGCCATGTGGTCTCGTGGATCAATAACAGCTTATTGATCAAAAAACGCTTTTACTATTACACTACAACAACACTAGGTCAAAGATGAGATCCTTTTGAACAGTTCTAAAAGCATTATTTGACATGAAATAGGTAAATGCTAGGATGTAACCCTTACTTTATAATATAAACAGAAGACGCAATAAAAATCCTGTCTTATTAGCCAGCAATAAAACTATGGGCCTAGAAAGAAAGCCTTGATAAATCTCAGCCAAAGAAACGGCGTTCATCAAATACCATGATAATGACTTAAAATAAGCTATGCCCAGTTCCTTTTATATCCTTAATGACTTGCCATTCACGATCAATTTTTCAACGTCACTCAATCATAAACCGCGTATTAAGTTGAAACCACGTCAATTTATCATGTAACAGTCAATCATTCAAACAGTACAAAGCAAGACAGAAGTTCTCACCTCAGGGTCATATCTTGGGATTCTGAATACAGCCACTCGACGTGAACGTTCCTCGACGTTCAAGCACACAAATATCACGGACATCAATATATCTGAGTCATTGCACTTGGACAAATTCCTGCCATGCTTTTTGATTGTGGCACAAACCTTGCGAATGTGTTCCAGCTCTTCTGTTTCGTAACCTGTACAAAAACAAGTTACAGTAGGCGAGGTTTCAGGTTATCACAGCAGCACGAAGATGACTGTCTCTCGGGATGTCGTGCAATAAAGTCTGGTATTGGCACCTCTGAAATGTTGGTTAATTTCCATCAGACTACATGGTACAACATCCCAGAAGACAGCCACATTAAAGTTACAGTATATACAAACTTTCAGGTACTGATACACGCTGTACTTCAGTACAAAGACTCTACCTTAATTTAGAATAAATAAAGATGGCTGTATGGCTGTGTTCTGGGCTGTAGCACCATGTGGTATGGTAGACATTTACCAACATTTCAGTTACTTGCTGCCTCCATCCTGATGAAGGAGTCAGGAAGGGCCTCTGAAACACTGGTAAACTTCTACCAGACTACATGGTGCTACAATCCAGAAGACAGCCATCTCCACTCTCACTGCCGTGATAACCTGAAATCCCAGTAATTAAAGATAATCTATAAAACTGTTTCGGTCACCTGCCAATACGTAAATATCAACAAGAAAAGAAAGTGTTTATTGTCAGAACACTATATATGCTCCCCAGTAGTAAAAAGAAACATGGTGTTTCTCTCCTACAAGAACTTTCAAGAGGACAAAATATTATAAGTAAAACTGGGAAGTAATAATTAGACAAACTTTAAAATGAAAAATAAAAACAGCAGTTACTGAGTGGTTTACTTGCAACAGAATGACACAAAGGGGGAAGAGACACATTCTGTGGCCTACCGCACATAACTACAGCAGCTGAGATGGGTCTAAACCAAATAAATTAACAATCATTACCCGTGTTGCCATTTGTACGTTCATCTGGAAGCTTCTCCGGAGGACCATATATGGCATGCCCCACATTTCTTTCCAGATATTCCATCTCAACTTCCTTGTAAGAATCCCAGTCTCTATCCCCAAATAACTCGTAATACCACTGCTGCTCTTCTTTAGCTTCCTCATGCCACGTTTCCTTTTCGGCAGATTCTGCCATTTTGTTTCTGCTACAGCTATCCTTCTACTGGCATTCAAATCACACCTGTTAACACAAACAGGTATGTAAAGCAGAGACATACAGACAGATGGGGCACCAACAACCTGCATATGTAAAAGGTTTCTAAGCATTCTTACCCAAGGGATGAAGCATCCAAATCATGAAACTGACCACTCACCTTCACCTAGGGTCAAGGTTATGAATATATGGCATTTGTGAAGAATTGCACAAGCACATTGAGAATTTTACTGTAACCTATTTTTCAAAATATATGCCATTTTTTAGGAATTTTCATATGTGTCTTGTGTTTTATACAGTTGTTAAATTTCACACATTACTAGGATATTCTATGAAAAGGAAGAAAATCGTAACGACTCCAGTTTGGATTACCAGAAATGTAGCAGATAGAAACCAGATAACTCGCAAATACAGGTCTAGAGGAAAACAACTACACAGACCTACCAAATAACGTGTTGTCCATTACCTTAACAAATGTAAAGGTAAAAGTAAAGTTGTCCTTGTGCTTAACTCAGCACCATTCCATGCAGACATAAGAAGAAGTGGAGGTAGAGATCCACAAATGCTTACCCTCAGCAGTGGAGGAAGGTAAGTGGTCCTCTTTACATGCCAGCTGCTTTATCCTTGAAGTAAGAACACTGGTACCAATTGAATGGCACTGGGTGGGATCTAGAGTCATTCTGGACGTTACGGCAAAAAGGCCTAACTTGCTGGGAATTGAATTCTGCTTGTAAATTATGCTTTGGAGGGAACCAGTCATGGCCTGTTTGAAAGCAGTTACAACATATGCTTGGAGAGACTAAAGAACAGCACATACAGCTTAAATCAGGATAGCCCGGGAATAGATCACATGGAAACCCAAAGCATTGAAGAGAGAACAGTATTTCTTGGATCTTAAAGAAACAAAGTGCTGGCCACGCCATTAATACAAATCGATTATTTTCATACACTTTACAAAACAATGGCTCATAACCTCTTTGGTGTTTATCCATTCGTTGCGAATGTCAACCTAACTATTAATCATGTATATTTATATGCGTATTCTTTTTTAATACATTACTTTCCATACGCAATTACTGTCCACCAACTTGAAAATATAAATTCCTATCATCGCACAAAAATTCCAGTTCTCAGTGCAGCCAACACCAAACAAATTTCTGCCTGTATGACAATAACAATTTTCTGAAATACATTAGCGTTGCTAAATGCCTTTCGATATAAAATACAACATAAACGTAAAAATTGAAACTTCTTTTCTGTAAAATTATACTGCATGACCCTGTGATATAATTTCACTCAAAGAATCAATGATGGAATGAACACTCTCGACAAGAGGTGACCCTGCTAGAAAGGTTCAAACTTCTGAACTATACGTGTTAGAAGCATTCACATTTGGTAAACAACGTTGTGATTATTCTCAAAACGACTTCGTTTGTATTGTTATCAGTATTAGCTAGCAAGCAGAAGTAATGTGTTCGAAAATATTTCACGTTATATAACGAAAGGGTTCCAGTTTCTGTGGTTCTCATCTATTATTTTCGGTATATAAGTAAACATATCAATAAAAATAAATCAGCAACAAGCATCGCCTGAACCCTTCAGAATAAATAAGAATATAATAGACGATCATGATGTGAAAAAATCTGCCACGTCGAACTACTTCTATAGTGATAAACAGTGTAATGATATTGTTTAAAGGTTTCTTTTCGGATCATTTAAAACTCATTTAGTACGTCACCGTATGACCCCAGTTCATATCTAAGGTTTATAAATTTATTAAGTGAGCGCCAAAATCACTATTCTTAACTGAAATTTTTACACACAGCTCACACCTTTGTTGCACACTCAACACCTAGATAGTTACTTGGGAATCCCTGGCATACGTAAGTAGCGGCCAATAATTCACGTGATGTTTATTACACAGCATAAAGTTTTCGAAAAGGAAGTTCCATACTCACAATGATGAGAAATAGGTCTTTGCTATTTTCGCTGTCAAGGCACCGTGTTAATGTGGATATCTTGGTTTACTGGACGTGTACATATATCAAGGTACAGTTTTTCATGTAATTCAACGACTGTACAAGTTTCATGTCGTTTTTTTTTTCTGATAGCAATGTTCATTTCTGGGAATTCCGCTGGGTATACTTCCTTGTTATTTTATCTACAATTACAAGAAAGGAGTATAGATAAGTCGATCATGTGATGAGCAATTATTCGATAGGAGAATGTACGGCTATCGAAAAATCGTCGTATCATTTAATTTCCACTTGAATGGTGGAATTCGAACAGCATCTATCAAAGTCAAAGTATTCAAATGACGGAGATTAGATGCAACGAATAGATAAACTGCATACATTACGTGATATAAAATAAGCAATGGTCACGAGTTGTATGTTCGTTTCAAAATATGCTATTATCAATTTTAATACTTACAAATTTCGTTATTTTTATATCTTGTAGAAATTGATCATTATAGCTTATCATTATTTGGTAGTTGGTAACATTGCGGTTACATGACACTTTATATTGAATTACTTCCATTCAATACCAACTGTTATGAAATTGAACTGTATTCATATTCGGAATGTTCCAGTTCGAATCTTCGTGCCTAGTCCATATATCCAGACTGATTATTTTCGTTATTTTACTTAGTCTCTCCAGGCAAATACTGGATAATACCTTATAACAGGCTGTGACCACTTCCTTCCCAAGCCGACGCTGTATGACCTATGCAGAGATTTTTTTGAATAAACGAAGAACACGAATAATAATTGCATTTCAGTTGACTTTAATTGAACCCAATTGTTATCCGATCATCATCAGCGAACAAGTCTATAATCGGGGGATATCTCGACTATGAAGGAAGAGTCATGAAAATCGCATTTACGAAGTGAATGGAGATACCGAACTTTTCTAATTTCCTTCCCACTTTTTCAAAACACCTCTTTGGTTTATTGTTGATAGTGACGTTGAGAAATGAAAGTAAAAATGCTAAAAAAACATCGCTTTATTTCTATTTCTTAAATCCAGATTTAGAAACCAATGAACTAGCCTGAATTGCAGACAAAAATAACTAACCCATCACCCAACAGCGAAGGTGAGGCTCGTTATAGTCGATATTCTTACAGCATTCATCCATGTTCGTAACATTCTTTCAAATAAATCTGCTTAACTCCAACAATGCACTGAAACTTTCTCTGACCGATACGTCGAAAAGTTCCGTTTTCATTCGTGTTATTTCGTTACTGAAGTCAAAACGTGAACTAGTTATTAGCAGCATCCTGAAGACAAGCAACACATGACAGTGGTATGCAGTCATAAATTAACTTAATTCTTATACAAACATTTTATTGGGGGTGATATTGCCTGATAAGATACACGGTTCGAGGTTGTTATAGGGAATGTTGTGGGTGTAAATATTTAGTAAGGTTTATTTTCGTTGGCCTGTAGCAGCTCGAGAGAGTAATAGTCATATAAACAAAGTCTGCGAAACCTGTTAAAGTAAGCCGTTGCGTTAGAAGACCTGAACAAAGAGTGTGAGAAATGTCGAAATACCTAGTCGTCTTCGTGAGACACGGAGAGAGCGAATGGACACATAAAAACTTGTTTTGTGGATGGATTGATTCAGGCCTGACGGACAAAGGTAAGCAGAAGTTACCTAATATTATTTTTAATTTGGCATTTTATAAAGGTGAGAGGTTAACCCTGAGTTTAAGCATCGCCCTGGAATACTCAGAGAAAATTCGATGACCAGTTTAACGCTTCGAAGGTGCACATTGTCGAGTGGGATGGGTGGGCCCCGGGATCTGACAGCGAAAAAGAGATACGGGTTTTGTATGGAGCAGGGGTGCGTAATTATTTTATTTTTATTCTCTGCTAATTCTGAAATGACCGCAAGAGGAAAATTCTGTAGTTCATAAGCGAAGGTCATTTGGAAGACCTAGGCGTAGATGGGAGTGACGTAGCGGATCCATGTGAACACGGTGAATTTCTTGATCGGCAAAGCAACTACCAGCTTCTCGTAAGTACTTTGCTCCGTGGAGTTCGTTTGGTTAGTGATAAACTTTGAAACTGTGTGTTAAACAAAACTTTACTTATTTTTAAAAGTGGGCTTGCCTATTACGGACATTAGAAATTGTGTGCAAATTATTTGGAATCCTTTACTTAAAAACCGCTTCATTATCGCTGTAGCTAAATCTCATGTTTGATTAAATCAGCTCAGCATGAGGGAGTGAAGGTAAAGCTCCATGCATTCCTTACCTCAGTTCACACCTCAGCTGCTTTACCCATTGAACAGATGTTACGTATTCTGCAGATGTCAGAGGAGAAAGTGGTAATGCAACGGGAAAGATTTTGAGATCACTGGATTTTATATGTCCATGGGGGTAGTTACGCTAAATAAAATGGGTTGAAAGAAAGAAACAGTAAAGTTCATGTAAATAAACAATAGTTCCATGCATATCCTGTTAAGAATTGTCTGAAGCAAGGCAATGCTTTATCACCAGTACTCTTTAATTTTGCTTTAGAATACAGAATTAAAAATGCAAGAGAAATGAACATCAGCTGCAGTGTACTGTAATTATGCAGATTCAAAACTAGTAAGATGTTGATTTAGGAAGGTAAAATTTACACTGTTTTCTTTTTTTTTGGGGGGGGGGGAGAAAAGCTTTATTAAAATACTTTTCTAAGCAAGATATCTGATGTAAGATTTGAGGTTTTCACAGCGGTGAGTATGAAGATTTCTGTCTTCTGGGTTGTAGATGTCGATGTTAACCAACGTGAATATTCATCGCCCTGATGACGGAGGCAGTATGACCTCCGAAACGTTGGTTAACATTGACCAGACTACACAGCGCAACAACCCAGAAGACAGAAATCTTCAAGATATCTGATGATGGCTGTCTTCTAGGTTGTAGCGCCGTGTAGTCTGGCAGAACTTTGCCAACACATCAGAGGTCCTTGCTGCCTCCATCATTCGGATGATTATGACAGAGGCAGCAAGGACCTCTGAAATGTTGCCAAACATCTACCAGACTACATGGCGCTACAACCCAGAACAATCATCTTTGCACTCACCACCACCGAGCGAAAAGCGCTAAAAGGCGATGTGCTTGGCGACTATGTTTTCTTTCAGGAAGAGAAGATGCAAAGCAAGCAGGAGTGGCTTTGAATTCAGAGAATCTGAAGTTTGACGTCGCTTACACGTCTATATTGCAGAGGGCCTGCGACTCGCTGGATATTATACTGAGAGAAATAAAGCAGCCAGAACTACCTGTCATACAGGCTTGGGAACTGAATGAGAGACATTACGGGGCCTTAACTGGATACAACAAAGCTGAAATGGCTGCCAAGTATGGGAATGAACAGGTAAGATTATGGTACACATTTCTAAAGAAGGAGTGGGAACTTGTCTTACATGGGCAGGCATTTTGTGCTCTTTCTATGAAAAGTAAAATTAACACACAGTGCACGGGCGCACACTAAAATTCTCTGAAAAATAAAAAAACAAAACACATAGGAATAAAGATGAGTATCTGAGAAGATATTGTTTGCCCGCCTGGCACAAAAATATCCTGGTATCAACGTTCAGGAACATATGATGGCATTGGATGCTGTAGCAGTATATTTTATCTTGAATGTGTCTATTGTAAAGTTTAATTTTGTTAGACAACATGACAAGTGCTCCATAAGAAGTGTGGAACCCCGACCGAACAACATCAGCCATGAGTCGCATACTGAAGGGCTTGAATAGTTCATTCATGATGCAAGCTGTCCGACTGAACAATATCAGCTATGAGTCGCGTACTGAAGGGATTGAATAGTTCATTCATGATGCAAGCTGGACTGAATAGGATTCAAACAGTACTGTTTGAACTTGTGTTTATATTGTCAGTCAGTAAATTATTTCGTTTACTTAAGATAAAAATTTACGCTGTGTCTGCGATGTGTTTTCTCAGGTGCAAATTTGGCGACGAAGCTTTGATATTCTTCCTCCACAAATGGAAAAAGATCATAGTTATTATAACGAAATACATAATAATAAAAAATTCATGCCCATACGAGATAAGATTCCTCAAGCAGAATCTTTGAAGACAACAATGCTTAGAGTTATTCCATTCTGGAACAGTACCATTCTTCCCGACATCAAGGATGGGAAACGGGTATTGGTCGTCTGTCATGGCACGAGCTTACGAGGAATCGTGAAGCACATTGACCGTGAGTTTAACTTGTGTTACATATACTCATTTCCCAGTTAACGCCACTTATACGTACTTCATTTGGCAGACCTCTTCTGCCTGGTGGCATAAAGCAGTACTGTTTAGCTGCAAATTCAGTAGAAAGCATAAAAGGTGGGCACCACATTGAGTATCCGTCAGTTCCTTTCAGCTATGAATGCTATTTTATAAATATTGCTAGTTATGCTTACTGCAGAGTTTAAACTGGACAGAAATGCTCCCCAAGTTTCAATTATACAACCACAAATGCCTCAAAACCAAATTGATGGTGCAAAGGATCATTCAGTGACTGAACCGTTCGGTGTATTAGTCAACTTATGAACTAATCCACCACATTTCAGGAATATCTGACGAAGCCATTGTGAAAGTGAATCTACCAACTGGCATACCATTCATTTTCGAGTTTGACGCAGATTTCAATCCTGTTGTGTCCATGAAGTTTCTCAGTAGTGGAGACACTCTGAAGGAAGCAATAGCAAGGGCTGCGTCTATCGGAGAGGCAGGGACAAAATAAAGATGACGTGCGGAGACTGATTTGTGACATGGTGAAGTTGTGATGATGCCCTCAAGACAGAAAATAAATACATTTTTAGAACAGATACAGCAGACAGCTGAGAAACTGAGGAAGATAAAGGAGTAGGTTGGACTAGGCAGAGCTCTGCTTGCACCGATTGGAGAGTGGACAACCCTTACCTACCAGATCCTATCACGTTATTTAATCATTCTGTAAACAGGAAACTGAAATGTTTATATTTACAAAATAGTTCATACATAAGAGACCATACAATAAAACTTCTTGACAAAATTTTGCAAGTTTAACACAATAACTATCAAATCTCATATATAGCACCAGATGTTCTGTAAAATAAGTACATCTGTCATCTTTCGCTGCTGTTCTCTCAGATGTCAGCACCAGTCACTTGAACAGCTCACTTTGATGAGTGACACAGTGCTTTTTGGCACTTATTTTAATATCTGAGCATGGGTAAGTGGGATTCAATTGCAGGCAGAGACAGAAATGATTTTCTCTTTTCTACATCCTCACATCCGACAAGAACTGGGAAAATTTCCTCGGAGGTTAAGCAGCCAGGGAATTTAGCTGAACGTAATCTAGTGCAAAGCCTAAGAATGCCTGGAGCTATACCTACAACCCCACCTCCCATACATCTGCATGGTGCGGTGAATACTTAATCACTGGGAATACTTTACCTATACACTAACATATTTGTAAAACAATATATATTAAACACTTTGTATCATCTAATTTTAATATAACTTCAGAAGCATGCTAAATATAAACACAAAAACAATTCATAACAGAGACCAGGAAGATAAAACACCCCTGGCAGTCCCAGAAACTGGAACATGGATGTAGCACCGACATAAGGCACTAGTTTTAATTTTCATTCAACAGAATAAATTACTGAAGAGACTGTGAGATTATCTGAATTGAACTTTAATATCAGGTTTGTTCTTAATTATGTATGAGTGAATTCTGCAAGTAGCTTCAACTTCTCTCCTGTTTCTGCTTTGTGTCATCATCCACACGACTACTCGCTGTTCGTAAATTGAAGAGACGACCGAACCTGCTGCCACGAAAAATTTGAGATGCAACAAGTGACTTAAGAACAAGATCATTTTAGATCATTCATGCTTCATCTCCCTCATCAGCCTGAGTGATTGAAACCATACCGCACTACCTAACTATACAAACAATTAAAACAAAATTTAATATTTTAACAAGTCAACTCGGTCTAACCTACATCTAGTATACAGAGATTTTTGTGGTTACAATGATTTTTCAATGGATTATTAATATTATTTTTCAATAAAACCTTATTAAAGTGCTTGGTTACAAAAGTGTCTATTCATTCTTTGTAAGAAGATTTTGCAAGTCAATTATAACATTTTTAACACTAAACGCAAGTCAATTATAACATTTTTAACACTGCGAGTGTAACAACTATTCTGGTGGGCATATTCGATCAGTCGAGTAGAGAGGGGCAATATTTTGAGCTTATCTGTTATCTCAATACTTGGCCTGGTATTTAAAAATACCTATATTCACATATTTATTTGAATAGCAAATATCACCGGGTATAATAGCTTTTTAGTTCATTATATTTATAAATTCAGGTCGATATAATTAGATTTCAGATTTTCTGTATAAATATTAAATTTCACAGTGCCATAACAATAATAATAATGAAAATGTTTTAAATGACATAAATCTAACTTTCAATATGCAAACTTTCTACACAGTGTAACAATGTAAAATTCATTTTATGTCAGTGAAATCAAAATGTAACAATGTTATACAATACTGTGCATGATTTATGTTGATCTATAGCGAGACACTTCATGCTGGTAACAAACACAAAGCAGTCCAGCCAAAGAAACTCCTAACAGTTCTGTCTGCATGTGACTTGATTTCCATCAATACTTTCAGCACTGTTTACAAATTTCGCAGGAACATGACCCAGACTGCAGTCATGATGACACCAGACAGCAGCTTCCACGCTTATTACGGGCACTCAGCTTTATGCTTTCCTCGACTTGTCGTACGTTCTCAGGGTTCAACATGTAGTCCTCTGCTATCATCTGGAAGAGCTCCGCTACAAAGAACATCAGTCTCATTTTACCAATCATGTAACACAGGCATCTCCGCTTTACAGTCGGTTATTTTATTAGTAACTGCCCCAGTGGTGTAGGTCAATATTTATCATCAGGTCAAATAATAATAATAAAAAATTGTAAAAGGCCCTGGAAAAGAAATAATTAACATGGTAATGTCAGGTAACCATTTATGTATCACAAAGAATCATCTACGTCTCACAGATTTGGAACTTGATCAAGAGCTTAATTAAAATATTTGGGTTCAAGTACCACACCAGAGAGATCTCATAAGAGAATAGGAATAAGTGACCTAAGTGTATTTTGTTTTGCATGGTTGAGGGAAAAGAATACAGTGAAAATATTTGAGAAGTGGTACCTCTGAATGGAAAAATTAACAAAATGATATATTTTATATATTATTCTAACCAGAACTTTCTTTTTAGTGGTAAGTAAGAGTATACCATTTTACCACCTTCATAAACTAAATTACCCACCCCATGAAGCAGCCCTTCTAGAGATGCTAACAGTACGCTCATTTACTCAAGGAGCATAAGGAGGGTGGAGCATGGAAGTGGGCATGAGGGAAATGAGAAATGAACATACAATTTTAGTTAAAAATGCAGGTTGATTAGAGATTGTTAGGGAAAACTGCCCATAGATGGATGGATAACACTGAAATAAATATTTAAAACACAGGGAGGTTATTGTGGATTGGATTTGTCTGGCTTAGTGACCAGACCTTGTGAACATTTTAATGAACATTCCACACAGGGCTGGAAATTTCTTTACCACGTGACTGACAATCATCTTCTCAGCATAAACAGGTTAGGCTCTTTCATCGAATAGTAGATAAAGGACAGAGATTAAAATGTCACCACCAGAGTATGAAAGGACTGATCTAAACTCACCAACATTTTCTCCTGTCTTGCTTGATGTTTCAATAAACGGTGCCTCAATGCGTTTTGAGTATCGAGCGACCATATCCAATCCCACTGCTCGCTCTGAAATATCTGATATGACGTCCAGTTTCGTTCCCACCAGGTAAATTTTACAGTTCTTTGGGGAAAAGAAACAAAACAGAACACGAACACTGTACACTGTCTAAAAACAAGAATAGTCAGCACTGATTTCAGTGAGTAAACTCATATCCGGCCTCTCAAGAGATTCAGGTAACTCACATCCGTTTGCACTTGTCTGTCAGTTGTCCCCACTTAGAGACCCGTACAAATAAAATATATCGCTCTGGCCTCAGATACCAGCTGGAGCAAACTGAGTCACAGATGAAATAATCTTGTGATGTAGCTTACTCGCTCGTGCCACGTCTCCTAAAGAGGTTTATTTTGAATATGGTTCTGTGTATGCCTTGGGCCATTTTTATTTTTCTGATTTGAAACTACTCATTGTTGATAAACGTTTGTATTCCAAAATTTTCTGCCACTGTAAATATACAGTATGGGGTTAAATCTGGATAATAAATGATTACACGTAAACAAATCAAAATAACTGAAAACAAATGTACAGTAGGTGTGTACATGAAGACTGATTATTATGAAACTTCGTATGGCAGGTAATTGTGTTCATTCTCAACCATAGAGAATTTTGAGTTTTTAGCTTAAAAATATGATAAATACACTGTATTTAGTAACATGTTATACTACGGAACAATTTAAATTCCAATTAAATCTGTATGTACACACAGAGCCCAGGAATCTATATGCTGCACCTACGAGATTAATGGTGAGAACAAAGCAAACTGCTAGACTGTGGACAAATCAGTTTTGTTAAGCGACTACTAGATTCAATTAACAGTTACAAAGATATGTTCAGAAATGGGTAATTGATATGTGTCTGCACATACGTAACTGTTTTACAAAATTTACTGATCCTACTGGCAACTGGTCTTGTTATAAAACTGACATTTTCAGACAATATGGATGAATATAAATGAGAAGCTCAACCATGACAAGTTCTCGGTGTCAGGGACCATCCAAGAAAAATCAACTTGAAGGCAGTTAACTCGATGTACGTACAAATATTATGAAATAATATCTGTTTTGTTTTCCGCTGGTGAAATTGGCTCACGGTTACAGGTTTGTTTTCAAAACTATATTACTATTACTTATGCTTGTAATAAACTTATTTGTATCTTCAACTTCAATGAATGTAAGTATTTCAAAATAGAGTTTGTTGGTGTGCACTGCTAAAGTCGATAACAGCTTCAGAATAACATTTATCCAATTTTCACAGAATAAATCTTTACATTTTTTATTCAAGAGTGATGACAATTCTTATAATTCATGAACAGTTACATTTATCTTAACAATTTCAATGACTGAAGGTTCTAAATACCCAGCATCAAACCAAATACTGAAGTCAAGTGGTTAGTGTTTCTACTTCATATTTAGAAGGTCTGGGGTTCAATATCAGCCTAAACAGACTTAAACCCCAAAGGTTCATGGTCTTACTCAGTCTCTCCAGGCAAATGCCAATATAGGACTCTAAATCATGCCATGATTACTTCCATTTCCTTTCCAATTCATTTTCACTGATGATCCCATAATTTGATGCTATAATGTCTAAGCTTTTGACAGCATCTATAAATAAGGCATAAATAAATAAATAATACAAAAAATATACAGTCTCATATGGGAAAAAGAAAACGGTACATCTTCCAATTCATATTCCACAGTCAACAGTGGTCTGCCAGGAGTTTACTGACATCTGTACCCAAATGAAGCTTCCTCCTAAATTGATTTCACATTTAAAATATACGTTATTAAAACAAAATGGGCCTTACTCCTACACTGTGCACCATACTGTAAAGTCTGGCGAGCAATGTGTGACCCACAAGCCACGGGTTGCTCATCACTTCACAAGCCACTGAGTTTGACTACCAACAAATTTTTTACCTCTTCAATTCTTCTAAGTTCATTTATCCAGAAATCTGCTTTGTCCCAAGATGGCCGATCAGTGATGTCATAGCATACTATGGCTGCCTTAGCTCCTCGATAATATATACGACTCATTGCCTCATACCTGAAATACAGGATGCACCAGTTACTTTTCAAAGACGCAACTCATAACAAGAATATTAATGAGCTACCACAGTTCCTTGATGCAATAATAATGCCCCATTTCATAGCGATGCCAGCCAGACTTTAACTATGGGGTAAATCATTTAGTGACATGCCAGTATGATGCATGGAAAAACTGGACTTCCCATAAGACACAATACATGGCCAAAACATTAAGAAGGTAGCTGATCCGAATTTCAACCAACTTACCAGATATACTGGCTTAGTTTTTGTGTCCCCTCAGATTTTTCTTAGAATTCAAATTCTTTGTTGGTTAATTTTCTTTCCACCACTGTTGCCTGAACAATGTAAAACATAAACCCTGAAGTTTTTATGACAACTAAATGAGATTTAGTGCTCATATGCAGTAAACATCTGAATCACATCCCACACAAATGTCTCAGAAGCATCAGACTTTTACTATCTACTGACGAGACTCATCGCTGAAGAACAGTTAACCGCAAAGTTACCTTTCACTGCCAGCGGTGTCCCATATTCCCATAAAAAATTTCTTTCCATGTGATTCAACTTCCTTAGCTGCAAATGCAGCTCCGATTGTCTGTGGATAAGCAAATAATTTCATTGGAAATAACAGATATAGGCTGTATTAAATTAAGAACTATTTTTCTTTCAAGTATCAAGACAAACCTATGAAATCTGTGATAACAGAACATGAAGGTTCACCACTGCTGCTAATAACAATTCTCACTAATGGTCATAATCCTGAGTCAGTGTAATCCAATTCCTGTCCTCATAACTGTTTTTCGGTATTCTTCACATTCTAGCATGAGTGAACCATCCAATTCCCGTCCTCATAACTGTTTTTCGATATTCTTCACATTCTAGCATGAGTGAACACTTTACAGGACCACCCATATTTGTCAGTCGCATTCTTCCTGGGAGGCAAGCAATCTGCATGACCCAAGGTAACTGTTATACAAAAAGTGGGAATTGTGGTCATTGCTGGAGGACATTACTGTCTAAAAAAGACATCAGGCCATTGTAGGGCAACTATGACCTACAGACACTGTTACACAACAATAGGAACTAATGCTATTGTTGGAACACTTGCATACCAATGACCTCAGATCAGAGTACAACAATCAACTACATGATGTGGTACAAAGAAAGCTTTTGGAATGTCAGTAAACTCCAAAGAATAAACCATTAAAATTTTGTATTGTTATCCACCCATCCACTTCTTGGTCTTCCAAGTTGCTGTTTTCCAGGAAATCTCCCCAACAAAATTTTGTGTGCATTCCTTACCTCCTCCATCCTAGCTACATGTCCAGGCCTTCAATGGCAGGCTTTTGTGCCGGAACTAGTAAACCGATCAGTACTATTACAAGTTAGTTGGGATATTATATGAAGAATCATAGTGAAAATAATACTAAGAGTGTATTTGTGCACCAAGGAAACAACTATGCTGTTGAAAAAAAATGTGGATTGTGGTCTTCTGTGTTGTGACACCTATAAGACTATACAGCATCAGCACCAGTACCCAGAACATCACAATCCACATTTTCACGCCCGTAAAAATCTCAAATCACATATAAGCGAAAATACTCCACAACTAAATCTTGGGTTTGAACCTGCATCAGTTTTGTGTCCGGACTAAATCACCATACATGATCGATTCTTATGTTATAGTAGCTGCATTATTACATCAGGTTATACAGTATTAATTGGTAGGGCAAATTTGAATCATGAACTGGTAAGGATGTGGAAGGAAGTGATCATGGTCTGCTTTATGATACTAATAAAACGTAGTGCAAGTGCAATGATGGATATATGTGTAAGCAACAAGGAAATTACGTGTATCTACAGCTTGTCTAAGTTTTACTGTCGCAAATCAGTCATAAGATATGATTTCCTGCCTTGAAAGGAAGATACTACTCACAAGACCTGTGTGTAAATGGAAGGAAAATATTAAAAGTAATTTCACAAAAATGGGGTGGCAGGATAACGACTGGATTCATCTGGCTCAGGATATGACAGTGGCATGTTCTCAGCACAGTAATAATAAAAGGTTCCTTTAAAGGCAGGGAATCTTTTAATTACTTGAACAACAGTAAAGATTCCATGGAGTACGTCTATTAGTTAATCATGGGAAACAAAACTCTAAATATTTGTTCCACAGGTTTGCAATATGGTTCTGTTCAGAGTCAAAAATTTCTTTTGAACAGCTTTTACAAGAATGTAAATTAGTATGACATAAATTTTACAAATGATGAAGCAAAATTCGTTTTCCTACGAATAAACTCAGTCGTCACCAGTTCTAAAACGTGATGGGTAATTCTTGTTTTAGTACCTCAGCATAATTCCGTGAAATAAAATAAACGAAAACACTCCTGAAATGTCATTAAAATCAGGGTACTCACGTTTTGATAGGGAACACCCCCTCTGAAACGATCGTACACATATCGTTCAAGTAAGCTAGATTTTCCTACACATGTGCTACCCAGGAGGACAACCTTCAAATCCACTTTGCTCATTATAAGAAAAAGTGATTAACAATAGTTTGTACTAAAAACACTATCCATTACATGAATCACATAACAGATAACTACTATAAATATACAATACGATCTTTCATTCCACTGGTATAGACCTGAATAGACAGTTTGTCAAAGTGCGATCGGTCGATTTGGTGACAGGAAAATCTTTTCGTTTCCGATCTGTATGTTGGTATTTTCGTATGGTATAATATCTGTTCATCAATGGTAAAGTAGTCACGGGTTGTACGAAGGAGCTCTGTTGTAGCAGTTGCTCTTCTGTAATTACCACAAGCAAGTGCCTGACTGATTAGTCTTAGCAGTTATGGCCGGCAAGAGTAATATGGAACTATTGCAAAGAGATGAAAATCGCCTTGATCGTTTTCTTGCGAAGTGGTGGACTCCAGCAGTTCTTTCTGCTATTGGTCTTGTAACTGTAGCTCATATGAGATATAATCAAGGCCGGCCGTTATTAAGCGGTACGTAATAATTTTTTGACATAACTGCAAAATGTGTTTGATAAACACAAGTGAGACCATAAATAAAGATAAACGATAATGCAATAAGAATCATAAACTATTTGCAAAACATTTTAGTACAATAATAGAAAGAATGAACAGTGAAACTAGAACCATAACAACAGAAGACTCAACAAAGTGCTTTACTCAATCAATAGGACCTGTTCATTTTGGGGCATTATAAAAGGAGTTCCTGAAAGTTCCAAACTTGGTCCTCTGCTTTCTGGTGTTGAGGGTGAGAATGATCAGGAGTTATTCTTCCTCTCCCCTAGGTGCCAACATTGGCAGGTAACAAGATGGCTTTAGGACTTTAATTTCCTTTGACAACAACAGCAATGTCTTACTTTTTCATTATCTAAAAGTACTAAGTGGAAGGAACAACATTAATTGAATTTTATAATGTGATGTTTGAGGTCTTCTGTGTTGTGTTGACTCGTAGGTAGGTACCAACATTTTGGAGATATGTACTGTCTCCATGTTTACTCTGTTCACAGATTAAGTCTACTCAGGGCCAATGGGGATAATCCTCAGTTTCCAAGGGAAAAGCAGTTACACCTTGCTGGGAATCAAACACCAGCCTTTAATTCATTTTACTCATCAACTATCTGATCCTATACATTACTTCAGGACATGAAGATGATTTCATACTTTATCATACCATGTTATGTTTAAATAGTTTTAGTTTATGAGACAGCCTAATCTTGTGTTTATTTAATGTATTTCAGGTATTCAGACTTACATATTAACAGTAGTAGGCTGTAGTGTTGCTGGGTATCAAATTCACCAGTATCGTGACGGGGTTTTGGCCGAGAGAGATGCTGTGTTACGCAACTATTTGGAAAGACACCCAGAGGATTTTCCTGATCCAGGTTAGTAGGTCCCTAATGGGCTACACTTTCTGTGTATAACCCTGACATCTGAACAAGCTGTAAGCAGTTATGTTTGCACCTTCTTCCATGTCAGTCTCGTGGTGAGTCGAATGGACAATTATTACATACAGCAACAAATTTGAAGATGGCTGTCTTCTGGGTTGTAGCGCCATAGAGTATGGTAGAAGTTTACGAATGTTTCAGAGGTACTTGATGCCTCCATCATTATGGCGATGAGGTACAATCCAGAAGACAGCCATCTTCATACTTGCTGCTGCAAAAGCCTGAAATCCTACTTAATAAATGGCTAATTTCTGATTTCTTCCCGTTTTAGAAAGAAAAAAGTTTGCCGAGATACTACGGCCATGGGTACCAATTCGTTGAAGAATGTGTTCACTGTACATAGTTTTTACTAAGGTTTTGTTGTGATATTTGTATTATCTTCTATGCTAATTTGTGTATTGGATGTGACAGTAGTGTGAACTGTAGTACAGCACTCGTGTAATTCTTGCAATAAATGAATTATTTTCTGTTTGTGTCCTGAACAACTGTGTACAAATATATCATTTGAAGAAGCTTAATGGAATTTCTTCTTATGCAGGACAACGCAAGTTAATTGGCAACAGTCTTGTGGAGTGCTGAAATATCTGAAGTTCATGTATTGTTAGTGGGGCAAGATAGTAAAATTGAAGGCTAGTTCTGTTATTGTGAGGGGTTGTTTATTTGCAGTTTAAAAGATGTATTGTAGAGTGAGCACACGTCAGCACTTGGCAGACAGCTCTGAATATGGCAAGGTGTGAAATGAAGTATTATACACACATGACTGTGACATTTGGATAATCTTAGTACATTGAATCCAATTCATTCTTAGATTGACTGGCAAGAAACATAGTCCCCACGCCTGCCTAACTCTTGCCATATCGATAGTGCTGTTTGGTTATCATGGTTGGTAATGCTTGAGATAATGTACAAATAGAATTGGCAGTATTGTGAAATATGGTATTAAGAAACTGAATATACTGTTAAGTAGATGTTATTGATATATGATACATTTGTACTGCATTCTTCGTAGAAGAAATGCTATGCTGCGTAAAGGAAAGATTTAAAAAATACATTGTACAGCATTGGTGCTGGACAAAACAAATCTCAAAAAAGGAATGTATTGTTTTAAGAAAAGCTTTATGAGATTGGGGCTCCAGTTTCGGTCTGAAGAAAGTACGATTGTTCATATATTTACTTTTGTTGAAATATTTTTGTTCTTATGCTGCCAAAAATCACAATGCAACACTTCCTAATCAAATGATATGGACTGATTGTCTTGACATTAAAAAAAGTCCCACTTTAAGGTCCGCCCTAGTTTCACGGGGTGAACGTTTAGAAAAATGTTCAACACATTTTTCCACAAATACAATGTATGTTTTACCACAAAGTAAACTGCATATGTTTCAAAATGTTGAAATGAAACCAGTGTTCTCGGATAAATATCGATATATAAATGGAAGGACAAAGAATGAAGACTGGTGACATCATTGCAAAAATTAGGCACCAGCATCCTATAGACTATTTTCATTTCTTGTTCATAGATATCACACTGAGAATGGGGTTTCATCTGGGATGTAACAACACAAATCGTCTTGCCAAAGAGACTTGAGAGAAATAACGGCTCGGTACTAGTTTTGTGCGGTAGCTGTGTGTTAACACAGGACTTATATTCTGTGCTGGTGAATCTTCATGTTTCCTGTTTTTGAAACTGGTAAACATTTTCAAATTCAAGTTATATATTACAGTGGTAGAAACGTTTGTCTGAACATGGCATCTTAAATAATAACTTTGGAATGACCTGCAGCCAAAAAAACAAACTACTGATCTAAACAAAATATGAGCATGTAGTTGCTGATGCTACAGTCCAAATGGAATTAATGTTTCTTTTGTGAAGTACTGATATGCAGCAACTGGCATCTTAAGAATAATGAATTCTTCTCGGGCTACCAGTATATCACTTGATAGTCCTACCAGACAGGACTTGAGAAAGCGTCTCAGACATTGTTATTAAGATAATATATTTTAATATCTGGCTTTATGTTCCAAGTGTTACTGAAATGTCCACGCAAAATCAGCACCAGTTCCTCTGGCCTCGGCAGTCAACAGACAGGAATCACTCCAACACCAACTCCACCTTCATGAGCGCACATAGATGCTACAAATGACCACGAATCAGTTGATGGATCGTATACCTCAACAGTTGACAGGTTAGAGACGCCATCATATCCTCCGATGGCCCAGAGTTTCCCCATGTTGGAAACAAGTGCCACCCTACTTCTCATGACATTCATTGGTGCCACCATGCGCCATCTGGAACCATAAATTGTATTTATAGCCTACATCTTAGAAGAAAAATGTATTAGCTCCAAACCGTCTGAATAATGTATGGTCAGTCAGAAGTATATATTGAATCATACACATAATAATGACTTCATATAATTCCTTTATTTCTCAGTTAATTAATCATTCCTAGGTTCAAACACTTGCATCTGTTTTGTATATATTTATTTCTGTAGATAAAATAATACTGTATCTTACTGATTGGTTACTGGGTCAAACATCTCAACTGTCTGCAGGAATGTGGAGCCATCATACCCACCACACACATATAATTTACCATTCAAGGTGGCTACCCCCAGGCGACACCTTCTGGTGAGCATGGGCACACATGCCATCCACTTTCCTGTATGGGGGTCATACCTCTCCACCTGCAACACAGTTAGATGCATATCAAAACTCGTGTATGGTATGAAACACGATTGAAGGGTGAATATCGGCTTGATATGGCGTGGATAACAGGCTCGGGAATAGGTCATTTGGGAGGTGAGGAAGCTGTGAAGTGGATAACACCAAGATGGATATTTGGGATATACAGTATGAGAATGAAAGTCGGTGTCTTCGGTGGCATACTTAATACAGCATAAAGTAATGCCATTCCGACTATGCACTGCAGTTACTAGTGAGGAATTGCATTCAATGTTGTTACCGAATCAAAGATAGAGAGTCCATCGTGTCCACCAAGGGCATATATGAATCCTTCAAAGGCTACAACAGCACCAGCACTACGATGTTTTATCATGCTGGCCACCACACTCCACTCATCATTGTCTGGTTGGTAGCACTCCACTGTGTTTAAAGATGTGACCCCATCATATCCACCGCACACGTACAGACAGTCATTGAGCGCTGCTGCCCCCACAGCACTGTGGAGAAAGAAGGATGCGAATGTAAATTCTGTAATTTGTTAAATGTCCTTTCTTTGTTCTGTCTGACACATTTTTATCCAACGAATACTGAATGTAATTTTCTTAAAAACCAATTTTTCTCTTCACGTCGACTATACTAAAACATGTGGATGAAGGTGGGTGGCTTCAGAATGTAGTCTTATGCTTATTGGTCAATCATTCTGACTTCTATAATAAATTCTTCTCGGGCTACCAGCTGAGTCTGGTGGTTAAAAGGTGAGAAAACCGACATTTTGAGAACCATCCTCGTCCTCTGGGGTACTTCAATTTGGTTTTTTCACCTTTCAGCCAACTGACACAGCTGATAGTCCGAGAAGAATTACTTAGTTGCCATGAAAGGTCCAGGTCATACATTGCCACTTGGTTGAAACATTTGCTTATGTAGAGATACTCTTCATGTGTTAGTGATCTGACATGGCTGTTAGATTCAGGAGGAATTGTGAAAAGCAGACAACACTATACCCAAAGCAGCTGACATCAGTGTCAGGAGTGGACAACTGAGGCTTGAAAAATCAGACTCCGAACTCTTGGTGAGGTGAATGTTCTCTCAATACAAATGGCAGTAATGATGTGAACCAACCTGCGTTTAAAATGCATAGGAGAGACTCGACTCCACGCTCGCTTTTGTGGGTCAAAAACTTCAACAGTCGACAGCCGTTCATAGCCATTGTAACCGCCAAATGCATACAGTCTGTCACGCATCACAGCCACACCAACGCGACTCCGGAGCATGCTCATTGCTTCTGCCAACTGCCAGCGACCGATAATTGGATCAAACACCTCTACTGTACTCAGTGAATCACCTGTGACGAACATATTCAGATATGAACATAGATTTTATCCAGACACATTTTGTGTATAGTATTTATGGTATTTATAGTATATATGGCATTAGAACCGTCACTACTGGTTGAAATTTTATATGGTACCTCCTGAATGTGGCTCTGATGCATTACCACTAAACTAGCTTAACTTATTCCCATATGCTACCGAATGACAGTTCGAAATAAAAACCTTGACCTTCTTCACGAAGAACCTGAGTGCCAACCATCATCATCTATCACCATGGTCAGCCTGTTTCTGTCATTGTTGCCATGGCAGGCAGAGGCCAGGAAGTTGACAAAATCATGACTGGAGGCTTTAGCCACAGATTGAAATAAATGGCTTAATTTTGTCATTTATTTTGATTTGTGAGGTTTATGTGAAAGTATGTTGACTTCTTCATTTACATGATTTTGTAGCTGGTTTAAAGCAGAAGAATAATTTCCACTTCTTCATTTCTGTCATTTGAAATGTAACTTTAGTGTGATTATGTGGTAACACGCAATATGGAAGAATAATAGGTTAATGGAGATGTCTTAAAATTTTAAGAAATCATTACGGGTAACTATGTAAATATTTTATATAGTGAATTATTTGAAACTTTCACTGTGACTGATATTAATAAAGTCTTCTTTTCAATCAGCCATGTCAGCTGGATAGAAATTGACCTTTCAGGGACCAACTGTATCCCCACCAAATTCTGATGTTGGAGATAGAGTTAGTTCCTGAAATACTGATTTTTAACAAATTGACAACCAACAGATTATTAAGGCACTACAAAGAAATCCAAACTTAAGAGCACTCAGAATGTTACAAAGAAGTTGCCAACTTAAAGAATATTCACCTGATTTGGTGAGGCCACCAACAGCGAAGATGTGACCCATAATGTAATTACAGCACCGAGGTCGAGTGCGGAAACTCTGCAACAGCGGCCGCCGCTCAGGCATCAAGTGGTAGTCTCTGGCTTCATCCAATAGGTCCCTGAGATTTTTCAAAGCATGAACTTGACATTACATGTACACAAGAACTGAAAATTGTGAAATGACAGAACTGTTGTTATTATCAGGAATTAATTATTCTCAGGTTATTTAATGATCCTCTTTCAGCTCAGGAATGAACCAAGTACGGAACAGAGAAAATCACTTGATGAAAAGGCATTTAACTCAATGTGAGAAATAAAAAATGCACACAGAAGACACTGGAGAACAGACACTTTCATGATGGGAAGACAATATCTATACACGTAATATTCTTCAGGCAGTGGGTACTTTTGATACACCAAAAAAGATCAAAACTACATAAAATGATACATGAAGTCTGTATGTCATATTGCAAGAGAACTGTCTCACCGGCACTCATGTGACGTCCTGATCAGTTCTTCTACAGATACTCTATCTGCTAGGTAGTGAGGTGTGAGAAGTGGCATGCGGACTGAAGCAAGCAGTTGGGGCAGGTCCTTTTTACGCACTTCAGGTTCCCTCTTCACCCACCTCATAACTGCTTCAAAAACCTCCAGGAAGACACATGAAGGAAATTAAGAAATGCATACTTTTTAATCATAAAACAGACAGGTATAGGACTACTTGTGTGACCTAGGCATAAATGGGGTCTTAAAGCATTAGGGTGTGAGAATCTGGAGTGCAGTCAACTAGCTCAGGATAGGAACCATTAGTGGAATTTTGTGAACACAGGGCAGTTTCTTCAGTAACTGAGCAACTACCAACTGCTCAAGACCCTGTCCATGTACTTGTCAGTCAGTCAGTCAGTTGATTAAGAAAACCATACCCTGAATTTGCATATTTGAAAATCCCTTCGGTTTACTGATCAGAGAATGTGGCACGTGACACAGGGTAAGGCTTTAGGCTCTCATTCACAGGGTGGTTATACTCACTGACAAATATGAGGCCAAACTGTGATTCATATGTGTTTCCTCTGCCAACAGGCAGTGCAATAAATATTTCTCACCTAACAAAACTCTGCATTTATTCCACTGTAAATTTCTTTATGAAACTAATTCTCTTCAGTCAGTACTTTTGGAGTACCAACTCTGTGTCTTTTATCAGAACCCACTTTGAGCTGCAGGTCTCCCCTACATTGACCTGATGTGATAAACATTTCTGAACCAGTTATTAACATATTTTCTTACTTACTCCTTTTTTACCTTCACCATAAATCTAATTAATTTGGGTTATTTTGCAAGAAGGCAACCATCACGTTGTTGGCTCATTTTTGGTCAGTCAGACAGCACTCAAGAATAGAGTGGGCAATAATGGCTTCAGTTTCAAAGCACATTCCTTATGTTGATATGAACCTCTGGAATCTATGTTACAGATACCACTTACATAAACACCTTTCTCCTATAGTCTGAATGTACCAAATAATAGGATGAGATTTACTGTCCTGATCCATGGAACTCAAGTGTCCTCTTCTTTCAACCAACATTTCACTGCTATTTCCACTTTTTAAGTCTTCAATCTGTGCCTCCCAGATATCGCTTCATGTGTGCAGTGCTGTAGCGACATCTCAAAGGCCAGTACCAATGATAAAATGGAAACAGCAAAGAAATGAGTGTTAAAATAACACACAACACTGACTTGGACTTACCTCATGGTGTGATGCACGTATACACAGATTATGTACAAAAACAGTGATTCACACAATGATGTACCTTAATACGAAAGTTACTTTTTTTTCTGTTGACGTACCTGTTCCTCCGAGAAGACGTGGAGCTCATCCTTCCTCACAATGCTGAGTAAGTCTGGGCAAGATAGGTTCAAATACTCATCAGACATTGAGACATTGTGGAAGTACTGCTGAATGTACTTGTCAGCTTCCAACACCAGGGGAGAACATCCAAGTGTGTCGGCAAAGGATCGAATGCCAAGCACATTGTTAGGATGGAACCTGGGCAGAAATAACAGCTCTCATCTTTATTCCAAGTTGAAATAACAGCGTTTATTTCCGACTGACTGCCAAGATTACTTCCCGATTTATAATTTTACAGTCGACAATTTCACGGGACTAACCAAAGGCTATGTCAGAGCTCAGATGGCTTCTCGCTGCGAAGTCACCTGCTGTCTCAGGTTTTTGTAGTGGATGAATTATAAGTGAAATTGGGAAATTATAAGCATGGTTAACTTTTCTGTTATACAAACACATTAATTGCCTGTTTTTACATGCAGATTGGAAGCTTGGACATGGAATAAGAGATATAATCAAATTACAAGTAGTAGAGACTGTTAGGACAAACAATAAGGGATGATATCTAGAACCAAGACATGGATGACAACAGGCTTCCTTCAGAGCATTAAAACTGAAGATACAAAATATGTGACCATTAATGGATCTATGAACTAGGTAGAGGGACCACATGAGGGAAATATACGTTGAAGAGAATAAGAGAGGAGAGAACACAGACAAAAGAGGAGTACTTTCGGGAGAGAGAGAAGTACTCTGTCATCAGGAAACCCGTAAGAAAAACAGGAAAAATGGATACGTTATTTCACTGTTTAGTTAATGCATTCAAGATATACTTACTATTCCAGAT